ACACACACCCACCCCTTGATATACAGTTACTATCTTTAGATCTGAAGAGAAATGAATATGCAAGTTCCATAGGCATTATAAAGAATGTTACAACTGAGCAACTATTTCACATACAGCAACTGGAAAGTGCTACCCTATGGTTATTCTTTGAGTCTGCTGCCATCTGAGAATGAGAGAAAACATCCAGGAAGACCCTTAGACCAGTTCATATTCAATTTTTTTTCTTTTTCTTTTTCTTTTTCTTTTTTTTTTTTTTTTTGAGACAGTCTTACTCCATCACCCAGGCTGGGGTACAGTGGAGTCATCTTGGCTCACTGCAACCTCCACCTCCTGGGTTCAAACAATTCTTCTGCCTCAGCCTCCTGAGTAGCTGGGATGACAGGCATATGCCACCAGGCCTGGCTAATTTTTTTATTTTTATTTTTAGTAGAGACAGGGTTTCACCATGTTGGCCAGGCTGGTCTTGAACTCCTGACCTTACACTTAAGATCCCCCCCACCTTGGCCTCCCAAAGTCCTGGGATTACAGGCATGAGCCTCCGTTCCCAGTCCCAATTCACATTTCTGAAGCTACTGCCTAATTACTCACACCTGTAATCCCAGCACTTTTCGGGGACTGAGGCGGGCTGATCACTTGAGGTCAAAAGCTCAAGACCAGACTGGGCAACATGGGCAAAGATAGAAACTATCATTTAACTTTATCTTCAATGTCCTAGCCTTGTGCTCTACTGTACTTTCGCTTCAGGTTCTTTTCTTACAGCAGAATTCATGATGCAGTGAGATTATTTCTGGCATTTCACCAACTGAATCCTTTTGCACAGAATCTAAGAAGCATATGTCCTTATTAAATTATGCTCTAAAGTAAATACAAAATGTTTCAAGTTACATGCAGCAAATGCTTCAAATAACAGTAAACTATATAAGTACCATAAAGCTATATATAAAATAAGAACAGGCCGGGCACAGTGGCTCACACCTGTAACCCCAACACTTTGGGAGGCCAAGGTGGGTGTATCACCTGAGGCCAGGAGTTCCAGACCAGCCTGGCCAACCTAACGAAACCCCATCTCTACTAAAAATACAAAAGTTAGCCAGGCGTGGTAGTGCACGCCTGTAATCCCAGTTACTAGGGAGGCTGAGGCAGGAGAATCGCTTGAACCCAGGCGGCAGAAGTTGCAGTGAGCCGAGATCGCGCCATTGCACTCCAGCCTGGGCGACAACAGCGAGACTCCATCTCAAAAAAAAATAAAATAAAATAAAACAAGAATAATTATAATGCAATGTACAACTATATAGCAATGAAGAGTTTGTTGAGTATTGCTATCACGCCATCTCTTTGCCCCTCCCAGCAGCCCTACAAGGTTAGCAAAGTAAACACTTCTCTTAACCTTTTTGAGGGCCATTTTTCTCATCTGTAAAACAGAGATACATGATAGGCCCCAAATCCTTGAACTGGTGAGTCAGTGAGCCCACACCGGCATCTGGGGGACTCATAGCACTCTTCCCCAACAGCAAAAAACAAACACACAAAAAACTCCCTACATCAAGTTCAAAAGCTCTCTGGGACATCAACACCCTCACACACGGAGGCACCAGTAAAAATTCACACTATAGTCTGTAATGCAGAAATATGGCAGGTATCTAAATCCTCAGACTCTTATCTGGCATGAGACTTTGAGGCATTTCCCCTGAGCCTCTATAATTTGGGGTTAATGCTACTTACTGAAGATCGGAAGATTAACTAGTTAATCCTTGTAAATCTCCTTGGAATTGAAAAGTGCTAAAAATATATATTTTTTAAATTAGTAGCCAGAGATTTTCATCCATCTGTCTTCAGCAGATAATATTTTCCAGTGTTATAAGAGAAGCTCAGTACCAAGTTTTCCCCTAGATAACATTATATAAGGGCAGAATTCAAGGAAAGCTTTAGTATTAATATGGGAGGAAAAGAAAACCAAAGAGAAATATTTTATTGCTGAGATTATGTCAATGAGAATCAGTACTGGAAGTCTTTGCTCATTACTGTTAATTAATAAGAACTGAACTTCTACTGGGCACACAGCCTTGAATTGCTCTTAGCTGCTCTTAGCTTAATGAAAGATTCATTGAATTTTTTAATAAATTAAATTTTGGTACATGACAAAGACAGAGCTTCCAAAGGTATACCAAAATAGAATGGAAAATTAATGTTAGAGAAATGGGAATTCATTCTGACTCTCTTTGTACTTTAACTGGGTTTAGCATGGGCGAAGGTCACTCAAGTTCTCTTGAGAAGCAGAATGCCCTGAGATGTCTGGTTGAAATTTGGTCAGATAGATTGAGATCAAAATTCAGCCACAATTCACATTATCACAGTTGGTTTAATCTACGAAAATGCGACAGGTCAGGCCAGAGTTCAGAAAGGAGAAAGAGAAGGCAGGTTATGGGAATGCTCAGACCTCAGGGAAACTTCTTCAGGCTCTTGCAAAAGGCGAAGTCTGTAGTTTATTTCAAAGAAAAGTACAAAAATGTGAGAATTCATTTGAATAGTAGAAAGTATTAAATTAAATAATATGTTTGAAAACGTGCTATTATACATTTGCAAATTTTTCCTTTAAAAAAATGAAAATAAACTTGGTACACCAAGAGGAGAAAGAAAAGATGGTCTAGCTGTCTTATTGCTGTTATATACAGACCAACAACCTGAAATCCCTGAAGCAACATTTTAGGTCTTACCATATCATTTGCAAGGGGGAAGAAAAGGGAGGGAGGAAAAATTCTTTTAGAAATCTATCCAGTGTTCATCCTTATGAAAAGTGTTGCAACAAATTTGATAAAATGTGTTCAATATTGCAAATACTGCTCATTCTGTTAAAGAGAATAACAACAACAACAACAAAACTCTTCTGGAAGCAAATTATCCTAACACTTAACAAAAATCTTCAGAGAGTAAGGGAAGAAGGTATTAAGCGAAGAAAATGCTTTCCAAATCCAGTGATTTATTTCTTAAGACTGTTAACTGGATTAAATGTTTTGGAACATTTGCTATCAGATCTGGCCCACAGCTGTTACAAGTTAAGCGGTGGGGGTATACAATGAGTCACCAAGCATGGTCTCAACAGAATTGCAATTTGGTGGTCGAGCAAATTGGGTGCCAATGAGGGACACTCCAAGGTCATTCCTTGCTGCTGGAGAACTCTCAGGTATATAAAAAGGGAAATGAGGCCTGGAGGCGGTGGCTCACGCCTGTAATCCCAGCATGTTGGGAGGCCAAGGCAGGCGGATCACCCGAGGTCAGGAGTTCAAGACTAGCCTGGCCAACATGGTGAAACTCCATCTCTAATAAAAATATAAAAATGAGCCAGGCATGGTGGCGGGGGACTGTAATTCCAGCTACTCGGGAGGCTGAGGCAGGAGAATCACTTGAACTCGGGAGGCAGAGGTTGCAGTGAGCAGAGATCGTGCCATTGCACTCCAGCCTGGGCAACAAGAGCAAAACTCTGTCTCAATAAATAAATCAGTCAATAAAAAAGGGAAGTGCAACAAGGCTGGAGGAGTGGTCAGGGATCCATGCTTTGAAAGGTTAAACGACAGGCTAGGGAGATTGATTTTATTTATTGTACATGATGGAAAGTGGTTGTGAAGGAATGCCACACCTATATCTGGGTTTTTTAAGGAAGATGGTAACTAATAAGGCAAGAGGGGGAACAGAGAAAAGCTCAGAGGCATAAAAAGCCAGGTAGGATGTTTAAGAGAAAAGCGAAATTGAAATTCCAAGTGAACCTATACCAGTGAGAGTGGAAAGAAGGAAATGAATGTCAGCCCAATTTGAATAGATAGAGGCAGATTCCAGCAAAGTGTAGAAAAAGACAAAAGAAACAGCATCCTTTTGCACTGAAGGATCCTGGAACATAACAAATTCCAATCACAAGACAGAACAGATTTTCAGTAGATGAGTTTGGTTCTGGACCATGAGAAGCCCAGTGAAGACTGTCACCAACCAGGGGAAGAAGAGTCACATAATAAGGGATTTCCAGGGCAGAGAGTCAGTACACACAGAGTTAGGAAGAAATGAGGGCATTTAGGGATGGCTGAGTGGAAGAAACCAAGGAGGGGCCTTCAGAAATAACAGGACAAGAGTCAGCAGAAATCAATGTCATGGCAAAATCAAGAATTTAAAGAAAGCGTCATGGTGAACAAGGGTACGGTGCTGCAGCGAGAAGCAGGTGAAGGCAGGTGAAGACTCAAGAGGAATCGCTGGTGTCAACCCACAGGAGGGTTCAGTGGTAACTTGCTGATTTCCTTGGAGAGTCAAGATGGACCCATGCTGTAAGCACGGCCAAGTGAATGAGTTCTGAGGACAGGAGCACCTAGTATAGCATATCGCTTGGCAGAAAGTGCAAAAAGATTATTGAATAACGATGTGAAAGAAAAGGATCTGGTTTTGTTGTTTGTTGCTATTTTTCTTATGCATAAATAACTAAGAATACTTATAGCTTAGAAAAAAACCCAGAGAAAGGATAAAAAGTCAAAACAGAAAAGAGATGACAATGTCAATGAAGTATAAAGAACAGAATATCAAGAACTCCTTCAGAGTTAAATTCTGGTTCACTGAAATAAGGTCTCTGGTGCATTTGTAGTATGAAGATAAAGATACATCCACCTCTTGAAAGCTTTGGGTGGCCGGGCGTGGTAGCTCATGCCTATAATCCTAGCTCTTTGGGAAGCTGAGGTGGGAGAATTGCTTGAGGCCAAGAGTTCAAGACCAACCTGGGCAACATAGCAGGACCCTGTCTCTATTTAAAAAGGAAAAAGGAAAGCTTTGGGTCTTTCATTTACTGAGAATTACAGGTAGGGAGAAAAGTCTTGTATTCTAATCTTAGGGGACTAAGGTGATCTTTGGTTCAAGTTCAATTCATATTTTAGATGTGAGAGAGAAAAGGGATGCGATGAGAGACAGAACTGAAGTAAGAACTGAGATGGGGACTGTAGCTAATCCTAACCGACAAGGACAACACTTACATTTCCAAAATATTTGTCCAGCAGCTCCACGTAACGATGCACAATCTCTAGCGTCAAGAGCTCATTGTCCTGATTTTCTATTGCACAGCAAAAATATAAACTAGCATACCTTGAAATGAAAAATAACAAAAGGAAAATATGACGATACATTAAGCAACCTGGAGACAGTTTTTCCCGTGAATATGTAAAGTCACCTCCTCCCCCCCGAGCCTCTCCTCATCCAAGAATGAAATCATTATTCATCACCCCCAATAGCCTCCTGAAATATAAATCAGAATATATGAAAATGCTGTGGGGGTTGGATTACTTCCGTTAATTACGCATGAAAGGCTCTCAACAAAATTGTACCTTGAAGAGCTATTATCAGGAGGACAGTATCCTTTCACCCCTGGTAATCAGGGTGCCTTCACACCCCTCTCCAGCTTGTCAATTGTTTTTTGTAAAATAGAAAGCCCTGACCAGTGTTGTCAGGAGCCCACGCTCCCCACCCTCCCGCTTCACAATGGGCTTCAGTCATTCTGTGTGAGCCTCCCTCCTCAACTTGTCAGACTCCAACCTTGGGCCCAGCAGATGGAGCTTTGCAGGCACTTGCTGGTAATTTAGTCCATTGAGTATCAGTCTGTGAAGGTTACCTCTGTTTTTCCCAGTGAGTTTTATAGACACCCTTTGCAAGAGCATATCTAAGGAGCATAACTCCTTCCAGGAGTTGCAGTGGGGTGTTGGATACAAGGTCAAGTTAGCTGTGTTCTGTTCCTGGCTTAGGCATCAATTACCTGGGTCTCCAAGGGCAAAATCATGTTACCTCTCAGGCTTAGTCCTCTCACCTATGGTGGGTCCTTTCTAGTAATGGTCTTGCCGTGGCAAGCAGGTATGGTAAAAAGAATACGCAGGCTTTAAAGCCAAAAAGATCTGGATTTGAAGCCTGGCTCTAGCAATTAACACTCAATTACTGTGACTGGGAACTGACTACTTAAACTCTTTGTGTCCTCAATGTACTCATTACAAATTCAAGTAATAGGCATAATAAGAGCTGTCCCACCGAACACAACCCCATTTCTGAAAACATTTTATTTGGTTACTTAATAAATATGTATACTACATGACAGCAGGAATGTCATCTGTCTTGTTCACTGATGTATTTACAGCCATTAGAACAATGCCAGGAATGGCCGGGCATGATAGCTAACACTTGTAATCCCAGTGCTTTGGGAGGCCGAGGCAGGTGGATCACCTGAGCACAGGAGTTCCAGACCAGCCTGGCCAACATGGTGAAACCCCATCTCTCTTAAAATACAAAAATTAGTCAGGCATAGTGGCAGATGCCTGCAATCCCAGCTACTTGGGAGGCTAAGGCAAGAGAATCGCTTGAACCCAGGAGGTGGAAGTTGCAGTGAGCCGAGATCATGCCACTGCACTCCAGCCTGGGTGACAGAGTGAGATTCCATCTCCAAAAAATTCAAAAAGAACAATGCCGGGAATGTAACAGGTTTTCCTACCACTTTTCTTAAATGCATGCATGCACTATCAAGGTGTAGTTTATTTACCTAGAATCCTGAATCCTGGCACCTAGAATTTCTTTCAATAAAATGAGAGTTATTTTCTAGTTAGTCTATTGGTACAAATACCTGGGCTCCAGCCTTCAAAGATTTCAGTAAGTGATGGAATTGCTATATAGCAATCTAAAATGTTCAGGATTAGAACAAACCAAAGCAAGACTGAGAAACTGAGCTCTCAAAAAGTTACTCACACCTTTTATAAACAAGTTTTAGTTCCTTCCAGTCAACAAAACTGCTTGTCCTGTGACCACGGGAGAGAATAATCTGAACAATTTCCCGGGTGATCTTCTTCCTCTCTTTGTCAGGCAGAGTGATGTACCATTTCTGTAGCCGTAATTTCCCTTGTCGACTGAAGAGCAATATGAAATGTATCTAGAACAAACAAAGCACACAAAAAACAGAACCTGATCAACGAAGTCATTCTGCCGTTCTGCAAAGACACTGAAATTCAGTGATGGATTTACATAGAAAGATAATTCTGAACAGATGAAAAAACACTTATCAGCATGGAAGCTATCTCATCTGGCAAATTATATTTAACCCACCAGAGAAAAAAGAAATGTGTATATCACAGACGTAGCTTACTTTTATTAAAGGAGAAAACTAAATTTTTTATTTTAATTCTTTTTTTTTTTTTTAAGATGGAGATAGAGTCTCGCTCTGCTGCCCAGGCTGGAGTGCAGTGGCGCAATCTCGGCTCACTGCAACCTCCACCTCCTGGGTTCAAGCAATGCTCCTGCAAAGCCTCCTGAGTAGCTGGAATTACAGGCGCCCCCACCTCCATGCCCAGCTAATTTTTGTATTTTTAGTAGAGACGGGGTTTCACCATGTTGGCCAGGCTGGTCTCGAACTCCTGACCTCAGGTGATCACCCTGCCTCAGCCTCCCAAAATGCTGGGATTACAGGCATGAGCCACCGCACCTGGCCTTATTTTAATTCTTTTTAAGTGTTATAAACACATATAGGGAAAAATACATCAAGAAAGTAGTAGTACTTCTGTTTTTAAAACATTAATTTCTTCCTTTACAAGACAAAAAAAAATGTTAAGGCAATAGAAGGGTTTACTTTACATTTTACATTCCAGCACCATATTTAACTATGGAAACATAATGATAACATAGAAATAAAGGGGAGAAGAAAAGGAAGTGAGGCTGAAGCAAGGAGCAAGAGAAAGTGAGACGCTGTCTTAAATGTAAGCTTTTTTTTTTTTTTTTTTGAGACAGAGTCTTGCTTTGTCACTCAGGCTGGAGTGCAGTGGCATGATCTCGACTCACTGCAACTTCCACCTCCCAGGTTCAAACGATTTTCATGCCTCAGTCTCCCAAGTAACTGAGATTACATGTGCATACCACCATGCTCAGCTAAATTTTTTGTGTTTTTAGTAAAGTCGGGGTTTCACCATGTTGGACAGGCTGGTCTCGAACTTCTGGTGTCAGGTGATCCGCCCATCTCAGCCTCCCAAAATGCTGGAATCGCAGGCATGAGCCACTGCATCCAGCCTTAAATGTAAGCTCTTTTCTCCACTTTGCATGTTACTTGGCTGAGAGCTTCAGAATCAACCATCTCAAGTTGCAATTGTCTTTGGCATCACCATAGACTCCTAACAATTTAGACAGTGTATTGGCTACACCAGGAAACAACCTGATTTTATTTTCAAATAAGTTTCAAAATGTGTATTTGAAATGATGGTGATGAATTTTAAAAGGTTTAAATAAGCAGAAGACATTAGAACATCTGGAAATTTACTTCAAAACCTTGGAAGGTACAGCACTTGGTGGCTCACACCTGTAATCCCAGCACTTTGGGAGGCCAAGGCGGGATAATCACTTGAGCCCAAGAGTTTGCGACAAGCCTGGGCAACACAGTGAGACACCATCACTAAATTTTTTAAGGCTCTGGTAGAATGTTTTCTTAAAAAGAAATTTTAAAAAACCCTTGCAGGTATGGTATATTTAATTTTTGGAAATTGTCAGATGGCCTAATCTTTATTTTATGAGAATTAAGCGTTCTCAATCCACGGTATCAGAAGATCAGGTTTAGAATCATAATTTATTTTGTTCAGTTGTTTTGTTTTTAAAAAATAAAGTGCATTGTTTCAGTTAATTATATAATGAAGGAAATTATATATACTGGGAACAAAAAATTATTAGATTTTAAGAAAACATTTTACAGATAAAAGCTTAAACTTCAGGCTGGGTGCGGTGGCTCACGACTATAATCCCAGCACTTTGGGAGGCCGAGGTGGGTGGATCACCTGAGGTCCGGAGTTCGAGACCAGCCTGACCAACATGGAGAAACCCCATCTCTACTAAAAATACAAAATTAGCCAGGTGTGGCGGCGCACGCCTGTAGTCCCAGCTACTCGGAGGCTGAGGCAAGAGAATTGCTTGAATCTGGGAGGCAGAGGTTACAGTGAGCTGAGATCACTCCATTGCACTCCAGCCTAGGCAACAAGAGCGAAACTCCGTCTCAAAAAAAAAAAAAAACAAAAAACAAAAAAACAAGATTCAACTCTATTGAAAAGGTTGAGGCCTAAATGTCATGACATAAACCATTACAACTCACTAGGTGGTGATATCTGAGGGTCAAATGAAATCATGCTTTTTACTCAGATCTTCCCCTAACTGCCCGCCCACGCCCCCAGCCTACAGAATTTGAGGTCTTCTTTTGAAGTGTACTGGCATGACTATAACTCACTGCAGCCTCAACCTCCCAGGCTCAGGCGATTCTCCCACCTCAGCCTCCCCAGTAGCTGGGACCAAAGGCATGCACCACCATGCCTGGCTAATATATATATGTTTGTGTGTATATATATATTT